AGAGATTTTTGCTATAGGGTGCATGTGCTTGCTGGAAAACCAGAGAGACAGAAAGTGAGAAATCGTCCCCTGGGGGGATGGTCATGCTGCATTTCCCTCTCCTCCATTCTCTTGGCATACACATATGCCCGACATGAGTTTTAAGCCACTGAGTCTGGGACTAGGACCATGGTTGTCCATGTGGAAGTCCACCAATGTAACTATTACACCATCTGCTGGTCCCATCTTTTTTTTTTTTTTTTTTTTTTTTTTTTTTTTTTTTTTTTTTTCCTGTGGGAACCTTGAGAGAAGCTAAATTTTAAAGTGGAGAAACAGTAATGAAAGGTGATTCGGATAAGACGTTTTGGTACTATGCAACGTGGACTCCATTCTCCCTGTCACAAACCGAACGAAGCAGCAGTTTTTGGTTTTGATTATAGCTTTACTTGCGATTTTAATAAACATGAACCAGTATTCAAACTTTTAATATCCTGCTGCTTAACTATTTCCAAAGAGCTATCCAGCTCTTTTAAACAGTCTTTGTTTTAAAATTTTAATTTGTTTGGCTCAGTCTCACCTTAGAAAGTTGTGGCCTTATGGTAAACTCTTTTATAAGTTGATTTCCAGAATCATAAGCAATTCTTGCCCCCCTCCCCAACTAAGTGTTTCCGCATGTGCCAGAATTGTTGGTGCTGACAGCTTTTCTGCCTTGTTTTATCTGGTTCCCGCAGTAAGTAAGTATGAGAGACAAACACAAGAATGTGTCCAGCGTTGACTAGACTGGTGATACTTACAGCTCCTCTAGGAAGCGAAGGCTGTGCAGGGGATTCGGGGGCAGCTGACTGATGTTGTTCATACTGAGGTCTCTGGAGGAGAAAACAGACACCGTGTGATGAGCAGCGTATGCCACCACCAGGAACTCCAGCTGTGCAGTTCACACATTTTTAAGCAATCCAGTAAAATGGACTCATTCCTCTGCTTGACAAATTAATTGGTTTTGCATTTTAAATATAGTCCTTTTCTCCTAGGCCCACCTTCTCAGCATCATAAACTTTCTATCGAATTAGAAACCCTGGGAGGGGCTAACATGGAATTCAAAATGATTTAGACCATTCATGGGCCTGGTTGTAATTCTTCATGTTTAAAATGATGTGAATAGGAAGGACAGCCAAGGAAACAGACATAACTCAACTCTAGACATAACTCAACTTTGGGTCTTGCTTTAGATTTTGTGGCAAAGAGAAATGTCTTCACCACGCAACTCCAGAAGTCCTGTTTCTCAGGGACCTTAAGCACCTTATAAAAACAAATGTTTTGATTCAAAGAAACTTAACAAAACACAACAAGACAAAAAGCCTATCCCCTCCTTCTAACATGTTCCTTTTGCAGGTTCTCGGATTGCATTAAATAAGTGAAATGAACCATAAAACGAGGGTGTAAGGTGATCCTGGTCTGGAGCACACTTCCTGCTGGGCCTGCACAGTAGTTCCTGGCACAGGAAACAACAAGCCATTTTAGGCAGAAATCAACCAATTTTTGTTTTAAGTGAAATTTTTGTATTTCTCTACTGTCTCTCACTTAATCCTGCCCAACATCACTGTCTATGTATATGTCTCTGGATGTGAATGTAAAGGCAAAAAGACTGGCAGCTGGGCAGATTCTATTCAAAACCCATTTGGACTTTATACAGTCAGCTGGAGGTTGACTTAAGTAATGACGTGTTGCTCAGACCTGAAGATTCAGAACTAATGCCATCCTAGTCTCAGATCAGGCTGCCCATACTTCAGATTTATCCTGTAAGTAAGACGATGAGCTTCCTTCCAATCCGAATTATCCTACTTTAAAGTAGACATACCCATTGCATCTAATCAGCTGATTTTGGTGTTGATAACTTGGTTCCCATTAACATACCATCTGTTATAGTGATGCTAAGAAATAAAGCATCATCTACTCCATGCCTTTTAAAAGACATGAGCATGTGCAAAGAAAATGAAATATTAAAAATAATTGTTTTGGAGTATGACAAAACAACAATTACTGTTCATTTTAATACCTATTAGTGGACAATCATAAAGGCAAGCAAATGCTATATTCTATTTTTTAAAGTTTATTTATTTATTTATTTCCTCCATGAGCTAGAGAGTCAGAGGAAGAGAGAGAAACAGAGAGGGAGCATCCCCCATAGGGCTGCCATGCTGCAATCTACTCCTGCCCTCTGCCAACCCTGAATCATGGGCAGTCCTGTTCCTGGTGTCCTCGGGGAGGCCTCTGGATGTGAACCCGAAGCCTTTCCCCATGGATCAACCTCACGGAGCATCACATTTTACCTCTGACTCTAAATACAATATTCTTAAGTAAAACTAAACAATGCCTCAAAGACAGACCCAAAACATTTGCATTGTTAATATTTTTTAAATTCTAGGTTTTTGACATGGTATAGATAAGAAAGTCAAATAATTGCTAAACAATTTCATTGTTTTGTGCGAATAGTTCTGGGAAGTAGCAAAGTTGTTTATTTCACTGAACAGATATGTATTAAACTGATGGATGCAGTTCCATTTTCTGCACAGTAACTATATTATTGTTTCCAAGACCATATATTTCTCAAAGATATTCTTTTATTTTTAATTGATATCTCACTTATTTCCCAAAAGAATCAAGGTGGTTTGCTTTTGGAATCTGTTTATTAATAACCTTGGTCAAACCAGTCCTGGCATCAAGATAGCTACTGCGAATAACATGGAATTTTCTCTCATATATTTGTCGGTATGATGTGAAAATTAGTTTGGGACAAACATTGCTCTATGTGTAGCAAGTTCTAAATAAAACTGGGACATTTACATATTAAGGAGATTCATAAGAACTCTACATTATTTTAATATTTGTAACTATTTCAAGCACTTGGAATGACTGGTTTCCATTGGATTTTTTTTTTTTTAATATTTTCTCCTTACGTCTTCATTTGAAGTGATGGAGCCTAGAGCAGCTGGAAGAGTGAAGTGAAAACTAACCTCTCTGTGAGGACTTCCTCACGTGGAGACCAGGAAGTATCTATGTTGATACTCTGAAACCTTGTGATAAGCTATTTCCAATCAGAAGGGGAAGACTTAATTCTCTTCTTGAAGAGCAAAGTATCTACTGTCTCTGACAAGAATTAATAGCTTCTCTGTGTTATCCAATGTATTGTGGTTCCTTTCAGACGAAGAGCTAGTACCACTACACCAAAATCTGAATTTCTTTATTTACTGTTTTCCAATACAGGCTATTTTCTTTTAATGAGCTTCTAGCAGTTCATATACACTTATAGCCAAAAATAACCTCTAATGAGAATAATTTTTTTTTAGAGGTTTTTACTATAGGACACATGCACTCATCAGACAGAGAGAGACAGAGACAGAAAGTGAGAAATCCCCGACCTCCCCCCCAGGGGGGATGGTCACACTGCAATCCCTTCTCCTCCATTCTCCTCTCGGGATCTTGGGCACGCACGCACATGCGCCCGGCGTGAGTTTTAAGCCACCGGGTCTGTGATGCGAACCGCAGTCGACTACATGGGAGTCCAGCGACATAGCCATTACACTAACTGCTGGTCCCTCTAATGGGAATAATTTGAGATCAGATGAAATAGGCCTTTGCTTCCTTTTAAAGTTTTTTTTTTTTTTTCCCATATGAGAAAGAGAGAGGAAAAAAAGAGTTACCACTGACAGTATCTTGTCACCCTGAAACCCTACCCCTCACCAGCACTCCAGAATCATGGATGCTCACAGGTGCCCCCAGCATTCAATCAATCCAGGACACAAACCCAGGGGCTCCCACATGGTTCCGGTATTATGTAGCAGTGCCCTACCACCTGCACCACGGTGACTTGACCTGAAATGTCAAGTAAAATAAAATGTAAAGCAGAAAAGGTAGAAATTAATCTGTATTCACGTTTTCCCTTCTGTGTACACTCTTGCATTGATGTTAAAACAAAATCATGGTCCTCCAGCACAGGGTGTCAAAAACCATCCATAACAACAAAACCAAACAAAAAAAACCCCGTTATTTTTTGAAGTTTATTCATTTGTTTCCATGAGAGCAAGAGAAAGAGAGATGGGTAACCTCAACAGGGTCCTCATGCTGCAATCTACACCCAGCCTCAGTCAGCCAGGAACCTCGGCACACGTGGGAGACCTCAGCTGCAAACCTGCGTTCCATCTTCCCATGGGCTTCAAGCATCACAGAATGTTGCCCTACTGCTGCTTCACTGTAGCTGGTTGAAAGACCAGTTTTGAAAACAATTTCAAGGGACCAGCAGATAGATGGTGGTTAAGGCACTGGACTTCCACATGGCGGATCATGGTTTGAAAGCTGAACCTGGCACCTTGAATATGACACCAGGTATGTGTGCCTCTGTGCCCAAAATCTCAAGAGGAGAATGGAGAAGAGATTATGGTGTGGCCATCCTCCTGGAGATGGCCTCACTTTCCCTCTCTATATAAAGTTATATAACTCTGTCTCTCTCCTCTCCAGTGAACACACATGTCCTATGAAAAAAGCATTTAAAAAATGAATGTGCTAGGGACCAGCAGTTAGCGTAATGGCTATGTCACTGAACTCCCACATAGTCGACTGTGGTTCAAGTCCTGGACCTGGCGGCTTAAACTCAAGCCGGGCATGTGTGCGTGCGTGCCCAAGATCTCAAGAGGAGAATGGAAGAGAAGGGATTGTGGTGTGGCCAACCTCCCCGGGGGGTGATTACTCGCTTTCTATCTCTCTGTCTCTCTCTGTCTTTCTGGTGAATGCATGTGCCCTATAGCGAAAACCTCTCAGAAAAAAAAATGAATATGCTATAAATTTAAACTTTATAAACTGTAATGGAAATGATTAGAAATGTGAGATAAAAATGCAAGATATACAAAATATAAGTCTCAGTATTTTATTATGTGATTCAACAGAGATGATTATATGATTATAAAATTTTCTAAACTTCTACTCTCAAAGTTTCCTCTGTTGTGGATCAGTGAAAAACAGTCATGGTCTGGGTGGGTCCTAGACCACTCTGATTAGTAATATCCTTCTGCCTTTGTACCAAGAAAAACAAGGCTTAAATTACTTTCAGCCTGCTCAGTTTTGAGTAAAAGATGATAGACTAAGAGCATGTTAAGCCACTAAAGACCACTGGCACCCCCCAGGGTTGAGGATGTTCTTACAGATGAGGAAAATGAGGCTCAAGAGTGGTAAGATGCCATCTAAGCTACATGCAGTATTTAGTGGGAAAGCCCCGCAGCTAGAACAGAGGCCTCTACTTGCCCTAAAATTTTCCTGTGTTTCCTTTTTGCAAACAACCTTTCTATTCTTTACAAAATATTCTCATTCTGACCCTTAAATTATTTTTTAAAATATTATTTTATTTAACTTTATTTATTTATTTTAATTTGACAAGAGAGGGACAGAGTGAGAAAGACAGATGGAAAGTGAGAAAGCAAGCAGCCAGGTCCAGGACTTGAACTGCGGTCGACCATGTGGGAGTCTAGCACTCTTAACCACCATGCTACCTGGTGGTTCAACCCTCAAATTATTTAAAAACCTTTCCTTTTATTTTTCTATAGTATTTGGTCTTTTTGATGCTTAGCAGCAAATGTGGTGCCTTAAAAAATTATTTTCAACCCTGCACATTATTTACTCTTTAAGTCATTATTTTTAAATGTCCTTATTTTTTCACCACATCTTTTCCACAATTCAGTTTTCTCAAATCAGTGAAGCCATATAATAGGTTTCTTGAGTTTTTATAATCTTTTGCCAAGATGTAGGAATTAACTTCAAAGAACTGATCATTATGTAAGAAGATTTCATGAGAAAGGGCTAGCATTTGGCGTGGTGGTTAAGGTGCTGGATTCTCACATGGCTAACTGCAGTTTGAGTCCTGGACCCGGTGACTTGAATATCACAGCAGGCACATGTGCGTGTGTGTCCAAAATCCTGAGAGGAGGATGGAGGAGAAGGGGTAGCGGTTCTCCTGGGGGGTGATTTCTTACTTTCTCTGTCTCTCTCTCTCTCAGGCAAGTGCACACCTTATGGCAAAAGCCTTAAAAAAAACCCCAATTTCATAAGACATAGGGGACTCAGGACTGGACTGTGGCCTACAGGATAAGGGAGATGGATCCCACGTGGCCAACTGAGGTTCAAATCCTGGCTCTGGTGGCTTAGAAAACATGTGTGCATGCCCCAAATCCCAACGAAGTGAAGAAATGTAGAAGTAATTGTGGCATGACCACACCCCATTGGAGGGGATGCTTTCTCCCTCTCCCTAATTCTCTGCCTCTGTCTCTCTCTAGTGAGTAAATGCATGCTCTGGCAAAATAAAAATAAATATTAGAAAAAGAAATGGAGGACTCAGTTGTGATTAGATGGTCAAATTGGTTAAACCATTCTGCTCTGTCTCTGGTCCAGTTCTTGTCTATGATGTGTTAATGATCACATCTAAAAATCAGAGTGGGTTGCAAAGTTTCATAGAAGCAGTTAGCAATAAGAGCTATCCTCAAAAAATTCATGGAAAATACTTATTATGAAAAAACTATGCGTGAATTTCAAAATTTTTGCACAGAAATAAACTCATACTTTAATTCATTTTCCCCCACAAACTATTTGAAGTCCTGTTGTACATTGGAATTACCCAGAAATTTTTTAAAATGTTGATGCCTGATTCCCACCCACAGAATATCCAAATTAATTGATTCACTATGGGCACTGAGGTTTTCAGTAGTTTTTCAAGCAATTCAAATATTCACAGGAGTAACTCTAAATTTCTAAGTAGGTTCTCTGAACTCTACAACCCATTTAGAATTTAGGAGGCTTAAGATGATTGAAGCTACTGTTTCCTATGAGTTCCTATAGCTTGCACCCTGGCAGACACTATCTTTTCTTTGAAAATGTTTTTGTTGCAGCTCTATTATTTTCTTTATTTTAAATAAAAAATTGCCAGAGGACCAGCAGATGGCATAATGGTTACATCGCTGGACTCTCATGTAGTCAATCATGGTTCAAGTCCCAGACCCAGTGGCTTAAGACTCATGCCAAGCATGTGTGCATGCCTGCCCAAAATCCCAAGAAGAGAATGGAAGAAAAGGGATTGAGGTGTAGCCATCCTCTTGTCTCACTTTCTGTCTCTCTGGCAAGCACATGTGCCCTATAGCAAACATAAACTCTAAAAAAAATTGTCAGAAAGTGTGTGCATTCACGAGAAAGAGAGGAAAAGAAAGAGAGAATGTATTCCCCACCACCACCCTACCCCCCCGCCCCACCATAGGGCATGGTC